CACGAGGAGTCTTCTTTAAAACGGGAAAGGCACTCGAAGCAGCAGCAAATGTCAACTGTCTTGTTGTAGATAAAACAGGAACACTCACCACAGGCGAACTCAGAGTAAGCGAGGCTGAAAGAAAAAAGCAACAGAGCTGGCTAGCGGCCAGCTAGCCAGTAGCTAGCGGACTATCAATGCAGCTAGCCAGTCACACGCGGACTGTCAATCCGGCTAGCTGTTGATACAGCTAGCTATCAAGGCTTCTAGCTACCCTATAAGATAGCTAAAAAGCCAGCTAGCTAAGAAACCAGCTAGCTACCAATTCACCTAGCTACCAGACGAGCTGGCTAGCGAGCCAGCTTGCCGCCAAACTAGCTAGTTACCCAACCAGCTAGCTACCAGTCCAGCTAGCTACCACAGCAGCTAGCTATCGAGCGCACTGCTTTTGCTGCCCCGCAGTGCCCTGTAAACCCCAGAGGCTGCAGCTGCCTCGGCGGCGTTTCTACCTAAATACATTTGTAGATGAATCCTCATCGCTGGCCTGGGGGTTCGCGCTTGCTTGTGTTGTTGCTGTTACTGCTGCTGCTGTTTGCTGTTTCCTGTTTGTGAGCAGGTGTCTGCATGCGTGGTGCACACAAAGCGGCTGGAGCAGCTTCTGCTGCCAGCACTGGAGAGGAGCTGCAGCTCCCTCCTTGCCTCTCAAGCCAAGGCCAAGCCAAACACTGAAACTTGCTGCAGCTCCCGCACCGCCATCGGTCCCAGTGAAGGTCTCAAGAGCGCCCCTTGCTGCTGCAGCAACAGCAACAGCAGCAGCAGCAGCAGCAGCAGCCGCAGCACAAGGATGAGCGAACATACTCCATCACCGTCCGACAGCGTCACCAGCTCGCTGGCCTGCGAATCCATCGTCACCCTTGACAGCACCGCCGCTGCAGCAGACGCTGCAGCAGCACCAGACGACAGACTTGCTTCCCCTTGCTGCAGAAAGCAACCCCAAGGCAGCAGCAGCAGCAGCAGCAGCAATCTAGAAGGGCCCAGTGGGCCCCCCCTCGCCTTTTGCAGACTGGACTTCCTCTACAAAGCCTCATCCCCGGTGTCCGATGAGAACAGCAGCGATAGAAACAGCAGCAGCAGCAGCACCAACTGCTGCAGCAGCAAAGGCGCAAGCTCCCCTCAATTCTCTATCTGGCACAGCAGAAAGGCGGGGGTCTATGACGGCGAGGCACTGCAGGGTTTGTCTGCTGCGT